ATTTATTATTCAAATTCAAAATTTATTCTTTAATAACGCGTGATGGTTTTGCTTATAAAAGGACATAAACCCAGGGCGTGTCCTTCATGAAATATCGAAGCATTTTTCAAAATTACCACTACAAAATAATGAAAATTATATTTGAAATCCCAAAGTAAAAACAAATTAATTAAATAATTTTTAAAAATTTTGTCCCGAGAAGGATTCGAACCCTCTACATCCACATTTTACGCACACTGCCTTACCAACTAGGCCATCAAGACATTAGAATCTTAAACGGTGATAGAATAATCTCAATTTTTCAATCAACTAGGTACTAATACAGCATAATCTAAGAAAATGTGCCTGACTTATCTTTTTAGAATTTTAAATTGATCTATCATTAATAATATAATGTTCAAAACTGCCATGAGCACCGACGGGATTTTTTCAGGGGGGAAGAGGGCAAAGATACACTCTTGTGAACCTAACCTTAGAAGCATTTTATTTAATAGATAAGAAATCCGGATCCTAATGTTCGTTTAAGCTTATTCCCAAAATTGATTTGCTATTTTGTAAACTTGGAGAGGGACCTTTCTTTACTTCTTTATTTTTAAAATGTTTCACATGTTGTTCTTGACCTTTTGACGAGCATCTGATCAAAAGCGTCCACTTTTATTCCAAGTTTTATGATACAGAGAATGTTTTTCTTTGTTTAATTAGAAAATCGTATCAACGTAAACTGTAGTTTCACAAATATTGGATAAATTTATAAATGTACAATAATTACATAAATCTAATTATACGAAATTTAGAAAGTTGAGGGAGTTGAAGAAAGTTTTTATATAATATGTAGATTGCTTGTAGGTCGCAGAATATTCCTTATCGTGCATGCTGCATTTCGTTTTGTTACAACAAGTGTCACGACAAGTATATATGACATACAGATAATGCTGTATCACACTGGTTACATTTTGGTTCAAGAGTGTTGAAATTACAAATTGAACAATTTCTAAAAATGCTGCACTTTTTTACAAAGTACTTTGACTACAGATAGATTCCAAGAATAATTACTGATATTAGTAGCAATATTTCCAGTATAACCTATAAAGTAAATTATTTTTAGTTGCAGGATAAGTCACGCATTATTGAAAATGGGATTTTAATTTTCCCTTCAAGATGGAAATCCATAAATTAATATCACAAATTCACAAATTGTTTTTACCTATCTCGATCTATATTGCATAGGTTTAAATTCGTATTTTTTGCATTAACTTTATTTTGGGTTTACTAATTGTATATATTCATATCAACTTGATATTACAGTTTTTGAGATATGAGGTACACATCTTGGTAATGATAGATATGAATAATTAAATAAACTCGTTTTGATCGTCCCCTTATAAATAGGGTTTTTGGTACGTTTTTTGTGTTTCCCCTATCGAAAAAGTATTCACTATCAATTTACAATACTTTTAAATTATTTAGGTAATGGTGCAGAAAAGCTAACTAACCCCATCAAATAGTTACGACCAAAAAACTTCTTCGTTTTTTAGATTCATATAAAAAACAAACTTTCTTGTAATCTTTTAACAATTTTAGACGAATCTAGGCCGAATTTTCTAGGTGGGAATATAAATAGTTCAACATTCAAATTGAAAATGCTATTTTTCATCATTCCCTAGATGGGTGGGTCAAGCCGTTTTCTGGATATTATCCTGTTACCGAAATGTTGTCTTAACATCGTAAGGATGGCATTAACGGTAACCGTCTTGCTAAAACCACTGTCTTCGATAAGGCAAGTTAGCTCTGCAGAAGCGATTTAGATGTCTAACAAATAATTCAATCTATTTCCAATGTCTTTCTCAACTCACTGTTACATTGTGGCCTTCTTCATCTTCAAAAAAGTAAGGGCCCAAAATTATGTACTCAGAAACTGGTCACTCGTTAATCGTGAAGAGTCTAGAAATTCTTGTGGTTTTTCGAATCCAAGAAAACTGTTTGATTGTCTGTTGACGTGCCCAGATAATGAGACATGTGATTCATCAGAAAACCATACGTATAACAGAAACTCTTCGCAATATTTTTCTTGTGAAATGTCTGAATCTTGTACGAAAATGCACCAATATCTTAAGAAATTAAGCATGTAGTTTTCCTATTTCCTAGTCTTTCTTAGGCTCTTCTTTGAAGATTGCATGATTTGGTACAGGAGCCTGCCGTGGTTATCATTATTCCTCACTGTTCTCTTTCGTCAAAATTTTTATTTCCTTTGGACTAGAACACTGCATATACGTTGACACTTCTTTACTATGCGCCTTATTGTTGTGTTTGTAACACCTCTTCCATATTGCTCTAAAAACTTAACTTTAACGTAATAATAAAAATGGACAATTTGCACTCCATTTCCCCATAAGGAAAATGGAAAATACTTTGTCATTTGTCCCTCCGGCGACATCAAGGAAAAACTGGTGTTAATACCATGACGTATATAGTATTCAGGAGGGATCACAACTTCGAATCACAGAACATCTAACAGCATTCCGTTGATCATATTAGATATCTCAAATAAATTACTGTTTAAATATTGCCGAGGATATATTAGATCCACCTGTCAAAACCAAGGTAACATTTTCAGTAAAGCAGTTTACGTGTTAAACAATTTAGATGCATTATCCTGTCCAATAATCCAGAAATCAGTCCTTTCGCGCTGATGAAACTGTTTCCGCTTTCTTTGGTTCACGTTCATCAGTTTCAGCTGACTATTTCAATTATTCTTTCTTTTCATGTTTGCAGTGCAGAAATAACTTGATATTGTTTTGTTAAAATGTTGCGCTTTTCTATAAAAAAATAGTACATTTTGTTCTAATCCATGTTTATTAAAAGGACACATATATGTTTATAAGCAGTAGCAAAAATAATATTTAACAAAAGAATGAAGTGGCTCATTTTTCATTTTAAGTAGTTTATATATCTGTCATCAACTGTTCTGAAATGTCACAAAAATTCTTCTGAATTATACAAAAATTGCTTTAAATTGTACAATAATAATTATTCACGTTTTTAATCCAGTGTTAACAAACGTGACAACTATTTCCGTTTTTCCACTTGCAAATGTTAACACAAACAACATTTAAATTCCTGAATCACGTTGATAACTCTAAATGAGTTCCAATCACAGACTTATCACACTCATCTACCTGAACATTGAGGTATTAACTTCCATTTTTGATTGTCCATAAGGTTAGCGAAAACAAAAACTACCAAATTTTTCTTACGTGGGATATGTCAGGTCTACAGACATTTAAAAAATAATGCTGATGGATAAATGACCACCAATTAAAGACGCATATTTGAGGTCATTTACAGGTGATTAATGTTGCCATTTGATTTACAGGTGAGGAAACAACCATCCTCCATCAAATGTGCAATATTGGAAACCAAGTACTGAACCAAAGACACCTGGAGAAGCCAACATGACGATTTTTTGGTTAATTATTATACTAAAGACATGTGATTTCATTTCAAATAACTTGGTGATTCCGCTCAAAGGAGGGAAACCATTAACCATGAAGTTGGTGAGTAATATTTATTCATTACAATATTTTTTTAATGGATTGACGTCCACCAAAATTTAAATCTTATGTACCACCGATGACTTTGGATATTTATTGATGTTGTTCCAAAAATATTACGAATTGGAATTAGGAAAACTTGTTCCAAAGTTTAGACACTAGTTCAATGCATACTAACGTTGTTAATGACTAAAATTCACGACAATATTCGCCTGATTTAGCTGCTTTAGATTTTTATTAATTTTTAATGATGAAATGGTCAAAACTGCTGTCGACTTTATGTATCTATTTCGCTGGACTCCAAAGAAAACAGCATCCACGGTGGAATCAAATATACAAATGAATTGATCATTTAGAAGACTTTGTAGATAATTAAAAATATTTTTGAAAATGTGGGACCAATGACAAAATATCAATAATAAAAAGAGCTTGGTATTTGAATTTTTCATTAGCATTATTTTTATATAGATGTATTTATAGAAAATAGTTCTTTCTCTTTATTAAGTGTTTATGATTTTAAAAAATAATCAATCTAAATTAGTTTTAAAATAAATGAATTTACTTTTAGTTCGTACAAGTGTCGCAGTATTTAAACTTTTATGTCTTCCAAGAAAAAGAAGTATTGATCATGAGATTGAGAACGTTCAGAAAATATAATGATGAATGGAAAACGTAACGGACAGCACAAATGAGAAAGTGGGGTGGGCTGATGAGTATGTGTATATTATGTGCGTTAGATGCGTGTATAAGCATGGCCACCACGATCAATAATGCTCCCACGCTCACGACCACTGGTCAGAAAACAGAAAATGCCCAGTCGCGCAACTTTCATTTTATGCCAGAAATGACAGACACGCCTAACAAAAAAATATATTTCCTTCTTCCTGGATATAATCTTAATGACACTTGCCTCATTTACCTTTAATTTTTGTACTCCAAGCCAATATGTTATCAAAAATTAAAAGTACTCTATCTGGAATAAAAATTACGCGGAAATTTTAAATTTTTTTAAACATTCCCACTTCTGAATCTTAAGTTTACCACACAGATCTCACCTACTTGTTTCGCTGCAGCTTCATCCTTTTTATTTCCAATATTCAGACAAAACCCATGCATGTTGTTTATGTACCACTACCACGTGCTAACCGATTTAGTATTCATGCAGTATTATTTTTTAAATGTATCTGTAGAAAATACACCAAACTAATCACATCACATTTATTTTACGATGTAAATATTATTGTAACATTGTTATTTGCTTATTTCTTAATAAAGTTCGGCTATAATAGATTAGCAAACATAGGTACCCCAAATAACAGTCATTAATATGTAAATTGAAGGGGTAACTTCAAGAGAAAATCCAGCGAATTGGTTTGTAGCATTAAATTGTAATTTTAAAGGATCGTACGACGAGTTAAAAGGGTGGGTGGTTAAAAAAACAGGACTTACCAGAGACCAAAGTCGATTTTTAGAAATTTGCCATTGCGGGCACCTATACGACACTAGCGCGTTGTACCTACTGATAATTTAAGGGACAGCGTCGAAAATTGACGCCGTGCGCAACTCCACCAAGTCAGGCGGCCAAAAGCCGGTATTTGTTAAATAAATGCCTATATTTTTCATGTATTGGAAAATTAATGGGCAGGTTTGTCAATTGAGTTTTTTTTTCATATGAATTATTGACTTAGTCCTGCTGGGTCACAACTGTAGGTACACGAAATTTTAAAACACTTTTTTAGTACAGGGTTGGTCGAGATTAGCGATGATTCTGAGACATATTTAAAAACTCAGTTCTTAGTAGATTTTCTTGTAGTGTGAATTGAAAGCCCTAAAGGTGCAAAGATGCGTCAATGCTTTTTAAATTGGAAACGTTCAGTTTTCATTAAAATGTATTTTTGACATTTCATCAATGCATCTTATTTTGTTTTATTTTTAATATCTACATTTTTACAATTTATAATTTTATTTTACAATGTGGGTACTTAATATTTTATGTATTATTTTATTAACTTATAAATTAAATTTTAAATCAAATATAAATACAATTAAATAGAAATTAGAGAAAGAAGAGATGAGAAAAAGAAAATAAACAATAAATTTCAAAAGGAAAATAATTCCATACTCAAATGTGACCAAAACGTTAAATAAATGAAAACCAGAAATTTTCCAAACCATGTGTCACACAATACGAGCGGCCGTTTCCCTTCTGTCCTTTGGCTAATACCGTAACAGGCATTTAATTATATCCAAAGAAAAAGGTCCGTGAAGTTAGCAGCGCCAAATGCGAATTTAAAAAAAAAGTTGGCATTGTCCAATAAATTCGTCCATTCTTCAAAAAAAAAAGCTAAAACAAAATTAAAATTTGAGCCAAATTTCACATCAGCACCGCTATAAAAATTTTTTGATAATTTAAAAGTGGTATTCGATTGTCCACGATTAGTCCACGTTTGTCCAACCAAAAGTTTCGTTTATCCACCCTCGAAAACAGAGATATTTAAAAAATAAAAAAATATGCACATGGTCCTTAGGAAGAAACTTAAAACATTTCATACGAATTAAATAGGTACAGCAACTGTTTATCCACACATTATTTTCGTTTATCCATGCCTTATTTTTGTTTGTCAATCCAACAGAAATAAGTTATTAATTAATTTATTTATTTATTACAATTTATCTTCTCTGTCCAACACTTAAATTCAATCTTCCTTCCTATTGACAAAGTCGCGGCTATTTATATAAAGCCAGCTCGGTACTAGAACACTCTAGGCGACCTAGAAGCTCTGAAAAGTCCCTCTTTATGACGACGCACCGCGATCATTCCGGCAGTTTCGAGAAGCGGTGCGTTTGTCTCTATATGGCCAGCGCTAGACTTCATACATCGGACAAGGAGTACACAAAATACAGAGACGGCTTCACATCACATTATTAACAAATAAAAAACTTACAATATGAAGAATTAGTATAAGTGCTTCTAATGGCAATTTATTAAAACTATCTATTACAATCGTTTGTCTATACATTATGTTCCTTTATCCAGGCCTTATTTTAGTTTGTCCATCCAACAGAAATAATTATTAACAAATAAAATACTCAAAATATTAACAGTTATTAATATGTCCAACACATAACTTTCCTATCTAGTTATTATAGGCTTTTTCCGGTTATTTTGTACAACCTATTGCAGCACCTCTATAAATGTTTAGAGGATAAACTAAATATATACATTTTCCACATACATCTACCTCGAAACATTTTTCTATAGATATTCATTGAAAACGAAAATACTGAAAAATTTAAATTTAGCACTTTTCCTACAATTTTTCCATTACTGTCCATTTTAGAAAAATCATGTATAAACAAAAATTATAGAGATCGATATCGCAAACAATTTTCATAAAAATCAGAATTTTGCACATTTTGTCAAATTTCTCGAATACGGACCATTTAAGGAAAATTTTGTATAGAACAAAAATTATAGATTTATTTATTTATTTATTTATTTATTTTGTTTGGAACACAAACAGGACATACCCAAAAAAGTGTTCCCAATGCTTCTTACATAATGGGTTTAAACTAAACAACTTTAACCTAATTAATAACAAAATATTATTACACTAGATACGAAATAAATGTGAAATAAGAAATAAGAGAACAGAAAAAATACTAAAGTTATTGCATTATAACAGAAATTCAAAAATTTTACATTATTATTAGATTATTATTATTAGATAATAATATTAGAACTAACTTTTATTAAAAGAATTTTCTTCTTCAAACGTAAATAACAGATATATTCCATAAAATATAAAAATGACCTCCTATAAAGTACCCCCCAGATGTTCCGACTCTGCCCAAAATATAACCAGTTTATTGGACGCTGGAATAAAGCTTAAGTCTAAAATTTGGTGTTTTTCTGTGTATCGGTTCATGAGTTATGGTGGATACAGACACGCACACACAGACATACACACAAACACACACACAGACACACACACACACACATACAAACACACACAGACACACACACAGACACACACACAGACACACACACAGACACACACAGAGACAGACACAAACACACACAGGCATCATCGCAAAAATAGTCAAAACGGATTCAGATGACCTCAAAACGTAAAAATCCGTCGAAAACTCGAGGTCGAAAAAATCATGATTCCTATACTTTCCTTATATTTGTATACAGATAGGAAAGTAAAAATAGTGGACATTTATTCGTCCGGTGGATGGATAATGCCGTAGTTACCATGATCTCTTCATCTTGTGGAACTCTAGAAATAAGTCAAGCTAAAAGTTATTCGCAGCAACAAAAGCGAAACATGGTTCCTAGACCCAAACTTATAGCCAAATATAATAAATATATGGGGGGTACGGACCAAATGGACCAAAATATAAATTGTTATCGGATTGGAGTCAGAGGAAAAAAATGGTACTGGCCTATACTGACTTGGTTGTTCGACGTAGCCATTCAAAACAGCTGGATCTTGTACAATAAATCTCATTCAACAAACATTTCACAACTACAGTTTAGAAGGGAAGTTGCCGGTGTTTATTTAAAAAAATACCAAGTCCCACCAAAAAGAGCAGGAAGACCATATTCTGCACCTGGTTCCACAACTGACAGCAGAGTGTCAGATGTAGTACGTTTTGATCGGATGGTTCAGTCAGTCGAGAAGAAAAGAAGATGTGGATACAAGCCTTACAAATCAACTCCAAGAACAATTTGTTCCAAGTGTAATGTAGGCCTTTGTGTACAATGTTTCACATTATTTCATACTCGTTAATAATTTTGTATTTTGTTCAATAAATTTGTTTTATTTGTTATTAAACCATTCTAATTTAATATTTAGTTTATTTCAAGCGTCTTTTATTTTTTGACAAAAGTGAATACGTAAGCGCCCAGCGTGGCTGTATGGGCACATTAAAAATCAATTCCAGCGCTAATGGGTTAATACATTTCATACGAATTGAATACGGCAATTGTTTATCCACACATTATTTTCGTTTATCCATGCCATTTTATTAGACAGTTTCTAGGGACTTCGCTTAAAAGAAACAGTGTAAAAAACTAAGCTAAACTAGATTGTAGATTAATTTATACGAAACTAAACAAAGTACACTTACGTCATTGTCGTACTGGAATTACAGTTAAAGTGGTTCAAATTACGCCAAATTTCACAATTGCGTTGTTATTCTATCAGACACTAACACAGACTCGATAATGTCAGACAAAACTGAATCATGCGGCGATGTTGTTCTGAAATTATGTCATAGACAGCTGATATTTCGACAACGACGCAACTTGCTCTAGCGGCCATTAAAGCAACTACAGTTACGTCGTTGTTCTCCCATATGTGTTACCCTAATTTTGCAATTACGTCATTGTTCTTCTGAAACATCGATATTATTTTCAATTTTCGTTTTTCTACCCAGTAAAAATTAGTTATTAATAAATAAAGAGCTCAAAATATAATCAATTATTAATGTAAGTTCTTCTAATAGACTATTAAATCTAACTAATGCAATCCTTTCTCCTGAAAATATTTTATTTGTCAGTCTTTATTTTCATTTGTCCACCCAACAGAAATAAGTTATTAAATAAAAAACTCACAATATATAACTAAATGTTGCAATCGTTGTTCCACACATTATTTTTGTTCGTGATTGCAATAATTAGTTTTAATAAATTGTTATTAGAAGAACTTACATTAATAATTGGTCATATATTGGTATCTTTATTTGTTAATAACTAATTTTTATTGGATGGACACACGAAAATTGGGCCTGGACAAACGAAAATTGGGCCTGTACAAACGAAAATTGGTCCCAACGAAAATAATGTGTGTACAAACTTTTGGTTGGACAAACATGGACAAATTGTGGACAATCGAATGTCACTTTAAAATTATCAAAAAATTTTTATGGCGGTGCTGATGTAAAATTTGCCTCAAATTTTTAATTTTGGTATAACTTTTTTTTGTTGGGTGGACAAACGAAAATTGGGCCTGGACAAACAAAAATAATGTTAGGACAAACGATTGCTGTATTTAGTTCGTATGAAATCTGTTAAGGTTATCTCTGAAGACCAAGTGCATTTTTTATTTTTTAAATATCTCGGTTTTGGGGGGTGGACAAACAAAAATTTTGTTGGACAATCGTAAACAAACAAATGCCAACTTTTTTTTTAAAAATTCGCTATTGGCGGTCTTAACTTCACGGACCTCAAAGAAAATGAGTAGAGATAGAAAAGTATTTTCAAAATTTTAAGTTTGATTTTGCTTACTAAGAACTTTATTTTTGGACCGTTGTAAAAGACCTAATTAAAACGATGGTTTAGGTAAGATGATAATAATCCTTACTGTATCCTTATCAGATAAAACAATTCTCTAATTATTTTAATAAAATTATGAATTGTCAACATTAAATAATTATCTAGAAAAGAGCTGCCTTTTAAATTATAAAAAATAATTAAAAATGGGTAGCTATAGTATTAGA